TTTATATATATATATATATATATATATATATATGTAAATAAGTGAAAATTGAATCCAGAGTGTGACTAAATTTAGATGATTTACAGCTTCCAATTCATTAATATTTACTTTCCCATAACTTGTACGGCTTAGGCAGATAATAAAATAGTTTATGGCTTCGCGGGGAAATGCTATTATGTTTTCTTATTTGGTGCATTCACAACTAGTGGCGGGCGAATATTTTTGTGGTGCTTAAATTAGTCTCTATTTGGCAGGCGCAAAATTTCTCTCTATTTTGGCAAAAGCACTATTGGAGCCTCTACTTGTCTGAAACATTGCAGTACTTCCTACTAGTAATATTCCAATACGATTTTCTGATTACGAAAAGGATATATGCCATATGTGGCATGAAAGTACTGGAGAAATCAAATTCCTCTTCATGGAGCTCAGACCAATTTTTTTTCATTATCTTGACTATTATTCTTCGGCAAAAAATGAAACTGATTGAAATTTCCCTCCTAGGTACAGAGTTATCTTACTTTTCAAGAGAAATATCAGCACACATGTCTAAATTAAATAACTGTACTATTTAAAAATATAAAATTTTATGGCTAAAAGCTATTTACAAAACGAGCACCAATTACTTGTTAAATGATAATCAAAGGAAGTCGGTAATAATTTGGTTATTTATAGTTGGTAGAAAGGATATTGGTTGGACTATAAAATGCAGGGTTAAAAGTGCCACAGTTATTGGGGAGGGGTGAGAAGATGTGACCTGAAGAGAGAGAGAGGCCTATTTCGAGATTATCTAACCTACATGGCTTCTTCTATCTTACAAGCAAGTGCAGTATCAGGTGGATTTGAAAGCGTTTGGGAAGCACGTAACTGCGTACATTTAAATGAATTTGCCACCTTTTTTAAAAGGAAAGCTAACAACACACCTACCAAGAATCCAGTATGGCGTAAATACTTAAATACGCAAATTATTTATGACCAAAATAGAAATCATACCTAACAAGCACTGGATAGAGAAAAAATTTTCTTAAACTTGGAAATCATTAATTTGTACCCTCCTTGGTTTTGTATTCACTGGTAAATTTACCTTTCTCATGACCATGCATGCAAACATCACAGTATTTAAGTGATAAAGCATCCATTAACTGTGACATTTAGGAAACAAGCCAATTTAAAATGGCTTTTTGCTGAAAAATAAACAATATATTTTCTTACAACTAAAGGTAAAGTGAGATGAGAGCAGGGCATTCTCTGTGTGTTTGTGAAGCGTGAGATGGGTTGCGACAGGGAGGATTGTGATTGATATAAGCTTAGAAATACGGGAAACTGCGGCTCTTTGACAGCAAACTACATTAGTTCTGCTATTTATGCAGATTTAAGGAGTAAAAAAGCGTATTTATTTTGCATCAAACTTTTGTAAGTTAAATTTGCCTCTAATCAAAAAAATGTCCTAATTACCATGTTTTGCTTATTTATGTCTATAAAATGAACACTTATTGTCTTTTAATTACATTTTTTTAAATTATAAAATTGTGTATTCAACGATTTTAAAGTATAATGGTTTTCATTGTTGAAACGTGTAACGACTGTTGGAAAATGAAATTGCGAGTGTGGTCATTTAAATAATGCTTGTATAGAACTTCATTATTTTAAGCTACTTTAATTGACTTTATTCAAAAGCTTTTAGAAAATGATCAGAAAACTTGATCAAAGAACATTTTTAACTGAGAAAGGGTAAGTCAATCAAACGAAAGACCCCATTTACAGTCAGAGAGATCGAATACGAAAAATGACATTTCAGAAATAATAGAATTCTTTATTTTAAAATGAACTCCACTTTTTTATTTCAAATTTCCAGTTCAACGTATCGAACAATTTTACTTAGAAAATAGTTAATAAATGCAGTAATTAAAAAGCAATGTTAAATAAGATCCCTCGAATACTCTTAGCAATAATCATTTGGTAGTATTTTAAAACCTCACATATTCTGGTCATTTAATTTAAACAAGCGGGACGGATGGAGTGTTCAGGAAGTGCACAGAGTAAATCTATCTTTCCCATCATCAATGAACAGCGTAGCCATATAACAACAAGGAATTGCACTCTCAGTATTTAAGAGTACAAATTGAATTCCTTGAAACATTAAAGTAGTATATGTGCGTACGCGTTAAATTAATAATCTTAATTCATAGTCTTGAGTAGAAAAAAATAATGCAATATTTGCACATTCTTGTAGGTACTCACAAAAGATTCCGTGACAGTCGCTGTCGATGCCGTTGTATACTATCGGATCTACAACCCAGTGGTGGCCATAACTAATGTTGAAGATGCGGATCGATCCACGCGTCTACTTGCTGCGACCACACTTCGAAATGTTCTTGGCACCAAAAATCTCTCCGACATTCTCTCTGAGCGTGACTCGATCTCTGGCATGATGCAGGTTCGTAAGATTAAAACTATTGCACCATACCCCTTCCTAATGCATGGACATTTAGCGGTTTTTCTTGCACTTGCACTTTAAAAGCGCCCTGAATATTTAAGTTTATCTTTCTAGATGGAGGTGGAATCCTGAAATGGGGCTTTTAACTACACGAAAGCGATTGCAAAAGCCTAATTCCACCGCACCCTCCCCCTCCCCACCTCTACACTACATCGTATAATGATATATATTATTTATTTTCACTAGGCTTGCTTTTACTTGCCTGACTTTCCAAACATTCAGGAGAAGAAAGCGAGCTTGGTTTGACAAATACGGAGCAGCAATCAAAGTATTCCATTACTTCAAAAACACCTTCTCTATGAAATCGAACATCACTTTAAAGTCAAGTGTGCTATAGATGTTACATTTTTCATATTAGGCTAAAACGGTGGATATGCAAATTTCTGCAAAAAATTAACATTTTCCAACCGTAATTCCCTTCTTACTCCTCACAGGATTAACGATGGAGCTTTTTTGAAATAAGAACATCCCGGAGATGTGATAATGAAGAATACCGAAAGAGCAAAGAGACCCTAATTGCATAAAACTCTCATTTCCAGCTACTTCCAATTATGAACTTATTTATTTAAGTACAAAGAGTGATTGTAATGGATTGGTGGGGTATCTGATCCGCCAGTAATGGAGGAACAATGATACCTCACTCGCAGTTATCGACCCGAGAGAACAATGAGCAGATCATGTCGTTACTGAAAAAAATTCGGTTTTTCATTGTTTTTTCCATAATTATTCTCTACATTTCAATTTCATCTGATTCTGCTTTCCATGGGATTGTTGACTGACAATGTTCTTAGTCAATAAGTCCAAATGTGCGCATGGTCGCAGAACCATCGAATTAGGTCGTTATGTGGGCAAGGCAGGTACTTGCTCGCTAAATATTAACACAGATTGGTGAGTATCTTGAATCACATTCAGATGTGGAGTTACATTTTTGAAGCGTACTTGAGATCAAGATCAGAGGAAACTCAGCAATAATCAAAGTAGCCTAGATAGAAAGTGTAAAATAACTTTTCAGGACTTCATTTTTGCTAGCATAAAATGAATTATTCGCCATGCATTTCAAAAATTATTCGCCTCTCTCATTCACCATGGCATTCCACAATGATATCATCATGTTTTCTTTAGGACACAAACTCTCAATTGCAAATGTATTGATGTCCTCAACTATTATACGTGGCTCTTTTCATTGTAACAAACATTGCACTTCTATCCTTGCGCACGCCCTTTTCAACATGACACATAAAATTGCTCCGGAATTTCCGTCGGCATCTCTTTGTTTCACTCTCACTATTTAGGCCATTGTTAGTCATTAGTCATTCGCGTCACATTTAGATTAACAACTCTGGTTCTTACATTACGTTGATAATTAACCTATGCCTCAAGAATAACAATAAAATCCTACATTTGAATATGTTTCGTAATCTGCATAACTAGTCAAATTTCTGTTACACAATTTCCAGTAGGCGAAAGTTTGAAAAGATAACAGCATAAATTATTCGCACGAATATTAAATGGGTAGTGATTGCTATAAGTAAAAAAAGGAATATTTGAACTAGCATTGTTGAAGGTTGACAACTAACTATGGGCAAAAGTTGTAAATCAGATAGTGAAACAATACCTCCTGATGAAATATTAAAGTAGAATTAAAAGGTTGCTGAGCATGTTCCAAAAGTATTCAACCATCTAACAGTACGTATTAATGTGGAATAACATTGATACCTCTCAACAAAATCACGTCTAGCGTCCACATGGTGACTGATGTTTTCTGCACGCTATTAGTCAGTTCCAACTCCAGCGGATATACTTCTAAGAAAAATTGCAAAATCGGAAATACCATTCCTGATTTCCCCCACCGTCGAACATTAAATACTTACTTAACCTTTCGAATGAGGTACCTAAAATATTATTTAACAAAAAGGTTCGCCACTTTTAGAGGATTATTAAATACGAGATGATTATCATTTTATCACCATTTCGTATGTACTTCCAGTATTTGTCAATTACAATTTTAGTCGAAATGAGTTAAGTGACTCGCAGTAAGTTAGGTGACAATGATTCTTTTAATGTTCTAAACTATTCTACATAAATAATTCTTTAAAAATTCTAAAATGTGCTTAATTTGGTTGATTTTAGACCATGTTGGATGAGGCAACTGATCCCTGGGGAGTTAAAGTGGAGCGTGTTGAAGTGTAAGTACTCACCTTCCTACCCC